TAGATTCACTTCAAAGAAGTGACAAAATTTTAATTATATATTAATAAAAAATACATACATATATATATATATATAGTAATACACCTTTCTATAAATAGAAAATGTCCCACGCATGCTTTACGAGTCTCCAAAAGCCCACTTGCCACATCTGCAAGTGGGGAGTTTTATAACAACGAAATCTACCAATAATAAAGAACTATAACTAATGTGCTCCACTTGTAACTCTACTATGATTAAAACACATAATCCACATCTAAATGAAGTCAAATAAATTGATAAAATCCAATACTTTATTTTGTTTGTACAATCCTTAGCCCCAAGGACTACATTCCCTTCTTAGATTAACGTTAATGAATAGTGTTATAAGTTTCAGTATATCTTATAAAATGGGTTGTAATCTCTAACACTTCTCTCTACTAACTTTTAGTTTCTTTTTCCTTCTTATTTTAATATATATATATATATACCCGTTCCATAAGTGGGTTGCAGTTTAGTTATTTATATTTTTTTCATATAAAAATTTTGTGAACCCTTGGACCTAGGGATGCAATTTGAGTTGAGTAACTCGAACTAATCGGAGTCTAACCCAATTTTTTATGGGCTTGGACAATTACTTTTACAATTAAAGGTCTATTTGGCATGGGCTTTTGTTTTGACCTTTGGGACTGTACTATTACATCGTTTTGGGGAGAGAATATTGGGTACCCCAAGGGTACCCCGTCAGCTTGTTCCACCTGGTATCCCAATCCAATAAAAACATGACAATTAGCTAACTTTCCACATCAGCTTCATACTCAACATGCCACTAACGGAACGTCGTTAACTTCGTTAAAAAAAAAAAATTATGAAACCTATCTTCTTCGGCATATAACTCACTGAGCCGGATCCGAGAGCGCCGGGCCGACCGGTGTGTGAATAACCGCTGCGATCTTCGCCGGAGCGGAGGCGAAACCGAGCTGCAGACGGAAATCCTGCACCACGACGCTCAGTAAACCGACCATAATTTGGCGAAGGCGTCGCCGTAAGCGCCACCTTGGCTGAATCCAAAGGCGTGTACAGGGATCTTGAGGTGTGAGTAGTGCGTGGAACAGACGACGGAGGATTGACGCCTTTCCATCGCCGATTTACCGGCAGAGACTGGCCCGTCGTGAACGTCTTCTAACACCTTCGCTGCTTTTTTCAGCGCGTCGGTGAAACTCGAGCCTTGGCCTGCCACAAGTGCGTGGGCAATTCGACGCGCCGATGACAGGCCGTTCACCGTCATTCTTTTCAGTGGCAACAACCTCTTGGAGTTCGCCGAGAAAGCCACAATGGAGAGACGATTGGCGGATGAAAGAGACGACACGATCAATCGCATCGCGTGTTTCATCATCTGCAATTTCTCTACCGTCACGCTTCGCTCATATCTAATACTATCACCAAATCGACCGGTGCTCGACGCGCCATCTTCTCTGGCGCCGGCGGCGCTCTGACCTTCAAAACTATGGCGTATGTCTCGTAACTCCGCGTTACAGATTCAAGCAATTCTCTCATCTGGGTCTCTCTCAATTGCTCCAAAATCTTTAATTCTTGTGGGTCTTTAGCTCAGACTCGTTGGTGAGCCAACTCGGCGAGATCATAAGGGACATTTCTGGGCTACCCGAGAACGAGCTTTGTGCTCGGCGATGGCTGCTGGTTGGTGGGCCGGCGATGGTGAAGATGATTCCTCAATCCGGTCAACGCTAATTTTTTTTTATAACAAAGTTGACGCCGTCTCCGTTAATGGCATGTTGAGTAGGAAGCTGAGGTGGAAAGGTAGCCAGTTGTCATGTTTTTATTGGATTGGGGTACCAGGTGGACAAGCTGACGAGGTACCCTTGGGGTACCCAATATTCTCCCCGTTTTGGGAAGCAATATGTTTGATAAATAATGGTTTTGTTTTGTACAATATTAAAACACTTTATAAATAGTGGCTCAAAGTGAAAACACTAATTTGATATTTTTATACATAGTGGTAGCGATTGAAAAACTTTGATATGACATTTCTCAAACTTGCAACAATTTTTAGTAAACATGTTTTTATATTTTTACTTTTAAAAAAAAATCTTGCAACAAATTTTTCAGATCACACTACAAAAAAAAAATATTATTTATGTTTCGGAAAAAAAAAAAAAAAAAAAAATGGAAGACAAAACGTTTCCAATAGATTTAATTCCACTTTCATCAATTATCACCCATTGACATAGTCAATTTAAGACTACTAATTGAGGAATTAATGTGAATTAAAAGGTATAATCGAGTCCCTTTTATGGTCATTTTGGCATTAAAATAGTCACACCAATAATGTATCAATTTAGATCTAACACTTAAAACTTCAACTCGTGACTTTGAAATTGGGAGGTGATATTTAAGTTTTTAGTCCATATAAGTACAAATTGGTTTGAAGTGTGCGACTTTTAAGTAACAAAGTTTCTAACGTGAAAATTGGGTGCTCGAGCTTCCATGAAGGTACAAATGTGTGAGTCTTCTTAACATTCAAAAAATAAAATAAAATAAAATAAATTATAAGATTATCTAAAATTCATGCATGTCTAGGCTGCCTAGCCAATTTTTTTTTTTAATCTCTTTTTTATTTTATTTATTTATATTCATTCATAAATTGATGTACATTGAGCCTTTCTAATTCCTCTTATATTTATGACACCTATATTGACCCTAGTTAAGCGTAAGGTTGCAACTTGAATGTGCTAACCCAAACTAACTCAAGTCCAATCCAAATTTTTATGACTTTGGACAATTATATATCAATAGGAGTTGTATTTGGACTGAAAACTCTCAACTCCCACTTAATTAGTGTTAGAATTGAACTTTAATTTCAATGTGACTTTTATATAGTTATAAATTTTAAAATACTTTTTTTTATGTATATATTTGTCCGCAATCTTTGTTTTTTCATTTTCTTTTTCTTCAAATCTTTTTTAAAAAAATGATTTTGGTTGTGATTTTGCTTAAATTTGTGTGTGTGTGTGTGTATATATGTGTATATATATATATTCACCATTCAGTTTTTGAATTTTTATTTGCATGAAAAGTAACCAAAATCTAGTCTAACCTGAGGTAACTGATTTTTAATTTTTTCAGTCACTGAGTGTAATATTTGAATATGACATGTACAATCACATATAAATCATACATATATCATTTAAATGCAAATGTTTTCGAGCTCTATAAAAGTCTGAATTTAGAATATTTGAGTTTACCAAATTTCAAAAATCCCCTTATCATTGTGTCACCGTTGAATGTTGAGAGAATTAATATTGCTAATTTGAACTCCTTGAAGAAAAAATTAAATTGAATTTTTCAAGTTTTTAATTTTATGGGCACTAACATACCATAAGAGAATAACAGTTCTGATCTACCTTTAATGATTTTGGTGGCTTTGAATCTCAAACTCTGGTCTTAAAAATGATCTCTTGATCATTGGTTAGTACAAAAATTATTTACCATGGTGATCGTTAAATATAATTAAAGTGAACAAAAAAAAAAAAATCTCTAAATAAAACATAATAATCATATCTAATAATCACCATACTTGTTGGGAATAAATTTTTTTATTCATCTATGAGTAAGAGATTATTTTTAAACTATACATCTATTTATTTGAATAATGATTTTTGACGGATCGATGAACAATAAATTAATCAATAATATAAATATTGACATGGAAAATAATGATGTAAAAAATATAGTTATACTAGTAACAAAGAGATAATTTCTTACTATTTTTATATTAAAAGAAAATAATAATTGCACTTCATTTTCTTTTTTATATATAAATGCACTTATTCTTTATTTTTACAACTAAATGACATGGAGACTCCCAATACTCGGTCTGATAATGTCATTTTCAGGCTCAGCAAAACTAATCACATGTTATGCGCACATGATTGATATATGCTGCTAAGTCAGTCGTCGTCACGCGGTCCGGATTTTGAAGGGTCGACCACAGATATCTTTCACAGCTAAGCCTACGAGCCTAGAAGACAAACCAACCGCAACCACCACTACCACCGCCATGGCTAGGCCTCTTTCACATCAAATTGTTTTGAAACTCGAAAGGCTAATTTTGTCATTTTACAATCAAATTACATAGCCCTTATTATACCTTCACATCTCCATTGATCGATCTCACACTCTTTAGGCTAAAACCGAACTTCTTTAAGCCAAATCTCTCCTCTGAACTCTCCCATGTCTCTATTATATGATGCAATTTTAGTCCCGTCATAATTGGTATACCTCAAGTAGATAACATTGTATTTACTAAAATTATTTAATAATTTCAATCAATTATATATTGTGACATAATTAAATGTGTCAATTTTATTTTACCTGAATGATTTTGAATCTTTTACATTACATCGTTTCAAAATCTGAAGGCTGATTTTGTCATTTTATAATCAAACAATCCCATAGCCTTTATAGTAACTTCACATCTACATTGATCTCACAATCTTCTCCAACCATGACACTTTCACTCCTGTTATCATATTTTACCTCAAAATGAATAACACTACCGCTTCAAAATTTTACCGTATTAGATGAGCTGATTAATTATATAAAATAACATACCCAATTAAATGTATCAGTTTTATTCTTAAAGGTTAATTTTGTTATTTACAATCAAACCTATGGGCTTTATTGTAACTTCACAGGTCTATTAATCTCACGCCCTTTCCCAATGACGATAGCCTTTAGGCGGTATCCCAAACTGGATCAAAACTGGATAACACTCCACCCACGTGTATGTTCTTTTTTCATTAAAACCCGCGTTTCCTAGGTTTCTTAAACTACACTTGGTGCGCAATGCGCACCGTTGGTCCTTTAAATCTACGTGTCGCCATTGTCGCACTTTAGTGCTGACGTGTTACTCGAGGGAGAAATAGTGCTCATTCACGCTGTGTGTACATTAGCATTCGCCCCTTATTTTTTCAATTTCTCCACCGGTTTCGTCTTCTCCACCCGTGCTTAAAAGACACACCAAAAACTGTTACAACCCCCTTTTGGTCTGCCTTTTGGCCACCGCCCCCCTCTCTCTGTAGCATTATCTTTCTCTCTCTAACTATACAAATATTTATCTGTTGTATTCATATTTGAACTCTTTTTCTCTCTCAAAATGCTTTTTCTTGAGCTATGAATTAATCTTCCAGCTTTGTATACACACACTCACTGGGTTTAGAGCTCTGATTTCTTATCAAGTTCATATGTATATGTTGGTGGTGATTCGAGTTTTGAAGGTTTGCTAGATTGAAATCTTTGCAGTTTCTATTCAAACACAGCGTTTGATATTGTTTGAATAGCTTTTAATCTATACTCTGAAGTTCTAAACTCATTTCAGTATATTTGAAGCAAGTTTTGAAGATTTCGATCAAAAGAAAGAGAAATGTGTTCATCTTTCAGTTCTTGAAGTAGGAATTTGCTTTGAATTTTTGTGTATAATTTCAGGTTAGCTAGAGAGAGAGAGGTAAAGGAAGAAGTGTGCGTGCGTGTGTGTGTGAGAGAGAGATTTTTTGTTGATCACGTGAGACCGGTGAAAATGCCGCATCGAACGACTTACTTTTTCCCGAGACAATTTCCGGACCGTGGATTCGATGCATCGTCAAAGTTCGTCTTAGATCACGAGAAGAAGATCACATCAGAGAGCTTTAATGGTGACAGTGACCGAAAAGCGTCAAAGATCTCAAAGGAGGTCACAGTTGGCGGCAAGAGTTCAACTGTATCGGATCGTTTCACGGGCGGCGACAAGATTCACGGGAAGCAATTGACCGCTTTTGTCAACTGGTTGGCCGAAAAAAAAGGAAAAAGCTCTGCTCACGTGAGATTGGACGACGGCGATGACGATCACGAGCTCTTGCTGCCTCAGCCGGAGCCGCCGCCTCCGCCGCCGCCGCATGTGGTGGTTTCCTGTGAAGAGCAGCACGGCGGGACGCCGGTGGTGGTTAGTTCCGGCAGAGATCGAGGTTTTGACCGCCAAATGTCGTTGCAGAGGGTTTCAAGCGAGAGCAGCTGCGGTGGTGCGACGGTGGTGGTTAGTGCCGGTAAGGATCGGGGGTTCGAGCGGCAGGTGTCGTTGCAGAGGCTGTCGAGCGGGAGTAGCTACGCGGGGAGCTTGTTTTCGGGGACGACATTGGATGGGAACATGTCGAGCGGAGTACAAATGTCCACGACGACGATGACGAGGGAGGTGGTGGAAGAGAGTGGAGATGGTTTTGCAAATAGGAAACGAGATAACTATTATTTGCTGCTTACGCTCGCCAAACGGATCACTGAGCAAGCGTCGCTTGGTGGTGAACCTATACCTCTGCAAGAGTGTGGAGTCCTCGAGGGTCTTGGTTTATCTTCAGACGCAGAAACTGTTTCTTATCGACTCTGGGTACTCTCTCTCTCACACACTAAAACACACACACAAGAACACATGCACCAAGATGCCATCTGTTTTTTTTTTTTTTTTTTTTGGCGAGGACTGGCAGTGGTCTTACTGTTTCTAAAAAGTTTGTTGTGTACAGTCTATATCTCTGCTGTACAACTATGAGCATAATATTTGATTTTATCATCTATTTGGAATTAAAAGTTTCTTTTTTCTTTTTTTTTTTTGCACCCTCCCTCTCTCCCTTTTTTATGTCTCCAAATCGAAACCGGTTGTTCGGTGGGTGAAGTTCATCACATATTGATAGTGATGAACCTCACCCACCGGATGGAACCGTCGGTTTCTCTCCATTCATTTTGATTCCTACTTCGTATTGGCCTTGTTTGTGTAATTCACGCTATTGTACACTATTATAGTATCGAAATTTACCATTGATAGTGATGAACCTCACCCACCGGATGGAACAGCTGGTTTCTCTCAATGGAGAGGATTTTGATTCCTCCTTCATATCCTTGGCCTTGTTTGTGTTGATGACTGGATGCTTATATTCTTGCTGGTTCAGTTCAGTCAGATATTTGGGTTCAGTTGAGTCAAATATTTCTTTTTGATAATTGCACTTTTATGATGTTTGTTTTTTTTATTGGCCACATTCAATTTGGACTTTTGAGCCTTCCACTCTTGCTTTTAGTACAGTTTGGTTAAAATGGAAGCTATGGCTGTCTTGTCTTGCTAACTCAACTCTTGAATCTCATTTGACGCCTCATGATAAGTATTACTTGTCCTCGTAAAACTCTTCCTAATGATTTTTGTTTTTTTTTTTTGGATTTATCAAGTATTGGTAAATTAGTCCATCCGTGGTTTGAAGGTTGGGGTCATTTCTAATCAAGATGTTTAGTACATGGTCATGAGTGTCATAATGGATCATGAATTATTTGTTAGATGTCATTAAATCTTGGTGAAATGTTATATCTATTTTTATCATTTTTTTTTAATTTTTTATCCTTAATATATTTTCCTGCCACCTCCAGCTCTATTTGTGATGTCTATTGGGTGAATCCTCTACTTTTTCAGGTTAGTGGTTCGTTGTCATATACTGATAAGATATCAGATGGATTCTATAACATTCTGGGAATGAATCCATATCTGTGGGCGATGTGCAATGACATGGAGGAAGGAAGACGACTGCCATCTTTAATGGCACTTAAAGCTATTGAACCCCATAATACATCCATGGAGGTGGTTCTTGTCAATAGACACGAGGATTCACGACTCAAGGAGCTAGAAGACAAAGCACAAGAACTTTATTTTGCTTCGGAAAATACCTTAGTGTTGGTGGAAAAACTCGGCAAGCTCGTTGCTATCTATATGGGGTATGTTTCAACATTCTCCCTAACTGATCATTACTCGAGCTTTTGTCTGTTCCTTTCTAAGAGTGATAAGTTTGTTGGAAATAGGGGCAATTTTCCAGTGGAGCAAGGTGATCTCCACAGGCACTGGAAGTTTGTTAGCAAGAGGTTAACGGATCTTCGGAAATGCATCGTGCTCCCAATCGGCAGCCTGTCTATGGGACTTTGTAGGCATCGCGCTATTCTTTTCAAGGTGACCAGATTACTGCATTCCTTTCATTCTTTCTTCTTCCTTTTATTGTACTTTTATTTATTTTTAAATTTTTTGAGAAATTAATTTTTATGTTGAAAAAAGTACGATACCGACATAGTGAGGGCATGATAATATATGTATATATACATATACATATTTCTATCTATTGTCCGTGATGAACATTACTTATGACAACAAAATCTAATACCTTACCTATTGAAAAAAAAATCTATTATCCTATAAATATATGAAATTTATATATTGTAAATTATAAAATTACAATCAAGATTGTCAAATAGAGAGACGTGGGTTCTATGTATGTATGTAGATATATCATATATGCAGATAAGTTCATGTGTAGACAATTTTATGTCTCTACAGAGTTCTCATATTCCCAGAACCATTTTTTAAATAAAATTCTTCTACTTCTTTAATTTGATATAATTATTCTTTCTTTTTTTTTCCTTGCTAAAATAAGTCTTTTGCAATTACAAGTTTCATTAACACATGTTATCTAAGTGTACAAGAAGTCAAGAAATGTCGGTCATGTATCAGAAAATAGTTTATTTATTTTAAATTATAGAAATGTCCATAATATGTTGAAATATGGTTGGAAGTCTCCAAGAAGTAACGGCGTATGATATGTGGCCAACGCGACTCTTCCTGTGAAGTATTCTTACTTGTTACTTTGTTTGTCATAAAGAAATAATTTATTTTTTCGTTACAATTTGAGTAGGAACCAAAAAGAGCTACCTAATGGAAGGGATGCAGTCTCTCCATTGGCCTTTTGAAAGAGGTGGGGCTATGCAAATAGCTAGAGAAGGATCTCCATTTTACTCTTTAACGATTTTTGCTGGAGAGGAGTTCCCTTTAGTGCCTTCACAGGTTCAATGGAGGCTTCTACCTCAGTTCAAATTTTGTTTCCTTGTTGCATTTCTCAATGCTCTTGTTAAGTGAATTAGCTTTGTTTGGTTGAGCTGGCTAGTATCATCATACTATTTACCAAATTGTTGGTTGTCAATGACCATTTATCCTTCACTATTTTGTGTGCCCAGGATTAAAAATTAATAGATTACCATATCCTTCACTATTTCGTGTGCCCTGGATTAAAAATTAATAGATTACCATAACTATGGAGTAGCAACCCCAATTTTGCATAATAAGTTCAAAGAGTAGGATGCCAAACTGAAAACCATAATTCTTCTAATTGAAGTATTCGTTGTGGCCTTTAACTGCCGTCAAGTAAGTAACCGGTGATCTCCTCAAGTTCCGGTGATAATATTTCTTAGTTTAAGATACAAACTATGTTTTTTTGAATGCTAATACACATATATAAAAATTGTTTGATTCTGTTAGGTATATGAGTCATGTGTTAGTAATTTCATAATCAAAACTTGGGTTGTAATGAGTCTTAAATGTCTTGAATCATTCAAGTACAATGGTTGAAGACAAGGCTGATGCAGATTTTTGAAGAACATGGCGTGAAACCCGCATCCTCAATCACATATCTAGGGCACATGTATTTCGACCTTAGTATGACCTAATTTGACCTGGGTTTATCTTCGAGAGGATCAAAATATTATTTTAGCTGTGTTTGTTTGTATGTTTGTGTGTTTTTTTTTTTTTTAAATGACTTTTAAATGGTGTTTCAAAATTAAGTTTTTACTGAACAGCAGGGTTCATCAATCAATTGGGTGAGAATTCGAGACTATTGATCTATCAAGTGTATCTGAATTTGCAGGGTTGAATTATCGACAGCGTTGACCAAATGGTTGATCGCATAAAAATTTGATGTCTTTGATCTACTTCACTTTATTTTGTAATTGATGCATAATTTTCCATACAAGTAAATTTTCCTGTGAAATGTGGTTGTCTTGTATGTAGATCATATGTTATAGAAAGTTATGATAAAAGTGAATTTGCCTGGCTAACTTTTCCTAATAAAAAGAGTGACCTGTACATACCAATATGTTTGTGTTTGACTGAGAAATTTCTTATTGATGGAAGGATTTATGTAAGATATCCAGCAAATTACTACCATTCTTAATTCCTCTGTTCAATTAACTATTCTAAAGATGGAGACGGAGACATTGCAACAAAATAAGATACTCTATTGTTTCGATTGGAACCAGTGGAACTAGTACTTTTAATTAATGTTTGAGATTCAGTGCCCAAGTTATTCATAAGCAGGTTATGTTGCATGAAGTATATACTTTTTTGTGTATGTATATTTGAGGTGGTGGTCCCTGGATTCAGGCCAGATCGTCTTTCTTTTTTTGTGTGCTGATTATCCTAAAATTGTAGATACAACAAGACCACTGTGCTAACAGCTGATGCCTTTTCTGGATGCAGAAGTTGGCAGACTATATAGGTCTGCCTTGTCGGATAGCTCGAGGTTGCAAGTATTGTGATTCAGACCATCAGTCTTCCTGCCTTGTCAAAATTGAGGATGACAGGAAGTTCTCAAGGTCAGATTTTTAGTGTATTCTTTTAAACTTCATTATCTTCCTTGCGTTCTTCCAAAAGTACATATTTTCTTTTGATTTAAATTGAGCAGAGAATGATTTAATTACTAATTCCACTGGTGTTGTGCCTAATGCCTCAATACTTACATTGTTGGTCATAAGCCTATTTAAAATGAGGGGGTTGCTTTAGATGGATGACTGCTAACTACCAATAAAAATCTTTGTAGATCAATATGAGTATAAATCCTGAGAATATTTGAAATAAATATGATCATGTTCTTCTTGAACAATGTGTTTGCATCAGCATTCGGGTATTTTGGACTATAGACAAGGGTACATATTGCATATTGAGGGTAGTGATAAAATTAGAAGAAAACTAAAAGTAACATGGGCTGCGATAGAAAAGATAGATATGATTGCTAGTTTATTGTTTGATTAGTTGGGTGTGCTTTGTAGACTTGATCGAGTGTTATTCCTGCAGATCGTTCGGCTTTTTCCATCTTTGTGCTATGGCAACTCGTCTTGTGACCTCCATTAGAAGAACAACTATAGAAGAAACTTTTGCCATCTTCTTGTTATTCATTCATTTAGACATTAACTTATATATTTTACTTGTTGGATAAATTACAAGTTTCATAGTGGCAAGAGGAACTTTAAAACTTTATTTTCTCTCTCTTGCGCGCGCGAGTTGTCTATAGTCAATTGCCATTGATAAACTAAGGGTTGTAACCTAGTGGTATCTCCTCGACCTCCCAAAGTAGAAGGTGAGGGTTCAAGCACCCATGGGGGCAAATGGGTGTGTGAGTTTCTTGCCAGGGAAAAAAAAAATGCCATCAATAATGTTTTTATTTTTTATTTTACTTCTTGTTATTCACTCTTAACATTTGGTGCAGCACAAAACTTGGTTACTAACGTTTACTCTGAATACATCAATCATATTGTGGATGTTCTTGTATCTGGATTTTATTTGCTATTGATTCTGAATATTGTTTCGTTTGTAATATATCCATCAAGTCTTCAGTCAAACTGTTTTACTATCTCTCTCTCTTTTTCTTATTCGTTGTTGTTTATTATGCAAATATTTATTAACAGGGAATATGTAGTTGATCTAGTTGGGGAACCAGGAAATGTCCATGGTCCTGATTCCTCAATCAATGGAGGTCTACTTTCCACCGTGCCTTCACCATATCAGATTACTCATCTAAAAGAATCTCAACAACCTTACGTGGATAATGCATCATGTTGTCAAATCCAAAACCCAAATCACACATGTACCCCTCTTGAAAATCTTCAATATTCAGGTATGTAATGTTCTGTGTACCTTGTTTGTGATTTAAGTTTTTTGAACATCAAGGGTTGCTGGATGAACGATCTGAGACAGTTTTGCAAAAATACCATTGGAAGTTTGAGCTCAGATAACTTAGTTTGCGATAGTGAATAATGCCTTAGGCACAGGACTTCTGACTATATATGAATCTTATTGGAAAATAATGCCAATTTGCAATTTAGGTAGCCTGATTGCCCCTTGTATGTTCAGTTTGATGGATGGTAATCATAGTATTGGAAATGCAACTTTGATATATATTATTAGATTACCAGTACAATTTATATGACTCCAAGTTGTGGTTTCTTGGTGACAAAGTTGTATTATCTATGCAAATAAACATAAAGATGCTTTGCTAATGCACAAGATATGCATGTATGAGGCTCTGGGTAAGAAGTATCTTGACTTTTATACACACACACACACACAATTCACAAAAACTCAAATTTCGTTCTAGCTTTGTCGTCTGCACTGATGTAAATATACATAACAGTGTCATAAGGCTTTCTTGTTTCATGCTTGCAACTGACATCAAATATTCATAGACACGAAAGTTGACAAGTTATGGATTAATCATGGATTTTTTTTGTTAAGCGTTGTTATGTGGCTTTTACATCCTTCTAAAGAATTTTGTTGGAACATTTGCTTCAAAGGATGGTTTTCAACAAATACTGTGCTGGCAAAAACTTTCTGGATCTCAAGATGCTGCTGCTTTAAACTCACCATTCAGATTGATCTCTTGCAGGCATTGGGGATGGAAGTCATCAAATGGAGGATAATGACTCGCTTAAAAATTTAGATGAGACCATGTATAGTCCAACTAGCAAAGTTTGTGGAGGAAGTGAATTGCCTGAACCACTGGATGTTGGTGCTGCTGAGATATCAATAGTAGATGAATATTCTAGGCCTTGTGGAGATAAAGTAATTAAACAACAGGCATACAGAAATGCAATTGTTACCTTTGGAAGTTCTATTACAAGCACTTCTGTAATACAACCTAAACCAGATCTTATGGAAGTCGAGAGTAGAATTGAGTCTCGACACAAATTTTCTACTGAAACCATCCCAAGATACTTGAACCTTGAGCCGTCTCTTGCGATGGATTGGCTTGAGATCTCATGGGATGAATTACATATTAAGGAGCGTGTTGGTGCTGGTAATTGTCTCCAAATTATTTATTCATTTATTATTTTTGGAAGTATTCAATATTACTTCTTGAGAAGCAATAATGGAAAGTAATGTATTTTTTTTGCCCCTCAGGTTCATTCGGGACAGTGCATCGTGCTGAATGGCATGGATCGGTTAGTATATTTGTGCCTTTATTGCAACACCAATTATAAAGTCTGTAGCTGATCAATTAAAGCCTGATACTGTTTGGAATAGCAAATATGATGAGTCATCTGAGGTGGAGTTATATTTAAAAGTTTGATGGATACCTTTGCAGGGGAAAAAAGAGAGAAAAAGATTGAACAATACTTTTCCATGGATGATATCTACTGCTACTTCTTAGTTCTTCTGTTTGGCCATTTTGCTCAATACTGTCTATGTTTGAACTTCTTTAACATTTACGTTGCCATTACCTGGTGCTAGTCATTTTAAGCAATGAAAGAGTTAGCACCATTCATAAAACCTAATTAATACTCATAATGCATGTCAATGCTTTTGCATCAAAAAGTTCAATCCTGTTCGGCTTCTTAGTATTGATTTAATAATAATAAAATAAAATAAAATCTTTCAGCATGAGGTGTTATACCACATAATAGCAGATGTTGTACTTGTACAATATGATAGCGGAGAACGGTACTTTAGTTTTGGTGCAATGTTAATGGAAGGATAAGAATGACAATATATATAATACATAATAGGATACGAGTGGTTTGCTCTCTAACTGGCACATAAAGTATGATTAGAGTACTGAAATTAAATCTTTTGCCCTGTTATGTTTATGACAAAATCATGTCAAAGAAAAATGAATTAAGGACATTGTTCAGTCCTACTTGAAAAAACTCCAGAGAGAAATCCTGACCAAATAATAACTTCCAAAACAAATCTTGTTTGCTGGTCCTTTTTCATTTTTCTATATGTGTATATATTTAGTGTATTGGTGGAATGCTGGGTATTATCTGATATAATTTTCACTTCATTACCAGTATAATTTTATCCGTATAAATTGTTTACAGAACTATCATTTTGCCCAATGAACGATTTTATCGACCAGGGCCAAGTTACATTTTGCAGGTCATTTTACTTCTAACAATTTCATCTTAAGAATATCTTCTTCAGATGAACAAAATCCATTCTTGGCAAAATGACATCCTGCCTTTAAGTTTTGCTGTCTTAGTTTATTGTACTGTATGCTTCCCTTAAGTAAGCAACGCATATTGGTCTTATTGCAGGATGTTGCAGTCAAGGTTTTAACCGTACAGGATTTTCAGGATGATCAGTTGAAGGAGTTCCTGAGGGAGGTATGCATTTACTATATAGTGAACCTGAATGATTAAAATTTTAGAATTGTTTATTCGTCCTTCACCTTCAAAGTAAGCCTTACTGACTCTGCCCTAAGTTATCCGCATCCTTTCAAATATGATTTGTATGGTTCCTGTCCTTTTTTCAGCGAGATAAATTTTATGCTTTAAAGACTTGTACATTTATCATATCACTCAATAAATTCTTCCGTATTAGTGGAAGATTTATGCATATGTTTTCGCATTTCGGCAAACCTTTAGATCCATCCTGGTTTTTTTAATACAAGCCACTTTCTTTCCTTTAAAAGATGCCAAAGGTGTTGATACCGTCTAACCCTTATATATATATATATATATATATATATATATATATCAGAACATAACAAATGTAGTCATTCGATAAGTGAAATCCTTTACATTTCAATAGTGAGTCTAGCCACAATAACACATTATACTGAGTGGAGACATTTGTTTTTAGGATATACCAATGTTTAATAGGGTGGTCTTCTAAGCTATGTTACACGGACTCTTTCAATTGCATAAAGTACTCGTGTCAGATGCAGACACCTAACTATGAGAGTATGTCCCCCTACCATTACAGTCAGAAATTTGATAAATCCAACCCTCAGTCACATGCCCACAATGAACACATGTAAAAACTCTGGTGTAGGTTATGAGTTATAATTTACGTTTTTAAACCTATAGATAGGTTTGTTATTTATATATGTAGAGACATTTCTAGGACAAAATAAAAGAATAATACTAATAAGTAATAGTATCTGGTAATGTCCCCCTACCATTACAGTCAGGAATTTGATAAATCCAACCCTCACTCAAATTCCCACAACAAACACATGTAAAAACTCTGGTGTAGGTTGAGTTATAATTTACATTTTTGAACGTATAGATAGGTTTGTTATTTTCAGTGGCTCCTCGCAGTTTGATTTTATATCGTGCGACAGATGACATTCACAAGCAGGTTAACAAAGCTAGGGAAGCGATCATTGGTTAAATTATTTCTGCTTTGTGTTCAATTAATTTGTGTTTGATGTATTTGCAAAACTCTTGAATAATTGATGGGAGAGCATTTCATATTCAAGATGTATGAATGTTCTCTACGATGGTTATTAATGTACTTCTAGATGGCTATAGCTTAAGCTTTAATCTGCATTATTATTTTTAGGTTGCAATAATGAAACGTGTTCGTCACCCAAATGTGGTTCTCTTCATGGGTGCTGTTACAAAGCGTCCACATCTGTCAATAGTCACAGAATATCTTCCTAGGTATAGCATTTTCTTAGTTCCTTTATACTTTGAACAATGTCTATATGGCGCAAATGATGAGTGTAATAACCCAGACAAGTCCCTCTTTTTGTGACAGGGGTAGCCTATACCGCCTTATCCACAGGCCGTCTGCTGGGGAAGTTTTGGATAAAAGGAGACGGTTGCGCATGGCACTCGATGTGGTTTGTATTTTTATTGTTCTTATTTTTCTCTTCTGTTAAAATTTGCTATTGAAAAACTGAATAATTTATATTGGATGCAGGCCAAGGGAATCAATTATCTTCATTGTCTTAGCCCTCCTATAGTTCACTGGGATCTAAAATCTCCAAATCTGTTGGTTGATAAAAATTGGACTGTAAAGGTACAAATAAAATTAATGTTCTTCTCCCAAAAAAAATATATATATATATATGCCAGTCCTTTCACTAACTTGTCTCCCAAAAAAAAAATATATATATATATGCCAGTCCTTTCACTAACTTGACTTCATAAAATATCATGCTCAGGTGTGTGATTTTGGGCTTTCCAGATTCAAAGCAAACACTTTCATACCATCAAAATCTGTTGCTGGAACAGTAAGTCTCTCTCTCTCTCACTCTCTTCCTTGCGGAAAATTGTTCAGATCATACTTTGGTGGGAATAAACTTTACCCTGATTTTGACATTTGTTCTTAAGCAAGTTTATTTGTTGTTCAAAGGCTGAATCCGCTCACAAACTTTACCTGGATTTCTTTTTGATACTATGGATTTGCTTGATTGCTCCGGTTGAACTTTTATTCATGCATCTTGTTCTAGTTTTATGATCTATGCATGCTTTTATTATCAATTGCACATTCATTCTCAAACTTGATAGAAAGTCAGATATTTTGATCAGTATGTTGCAGGTTGAAAATTTTCTTCGCAGTGTATCAATTAGCGTGTAACTCTCTTGATTTTCATTTCAGCCCGAGTGGATGGCCCCAGAATTCCTTCGCGGAGAGCCCTCAAATGAGAAGTCTGATGTTTACAGTTATGGGGTAATTTTATGGGAACTCGTGAGCATGCAACAGCCTTGGAGTGGACTTAGCCCTGCCCAGGTATCTTCTTCTTTGTCAACACTATATAATTATTTCATACATCTGATGCACATTGATGCTCTGTATTCTGATTTTTCTTGGTTGACATGACATTGAAAACTTTAAGGTGGTTGGTGCTGTTGCTTTCCAGAACAGAAGGCTTGCTATCCCTCAGAATACCTCCCCCGTGTTAGCTTCCCTCATGGAATCTTGCTGGTCCGAGTAAGAATACTCTATCAGTTCAAACTACTTAGTAATGCTTAAAAATATGACAACCATTTACCAGATGAATACATTTAAAACTCTACATGTAACCTGAAACAGACAAGTTTTTGGATGACTGCTAAAAAAACAAACAAAAAAAAAGAGAGGAAAGGAAAAATAATAAAATTTTCGAGGTATTAAACTTCGACTAAGATCTTCCTATAAATGCACTCAGTTGAGTCAATATATTCCGGGAACTTGAGACCTTAGGTTTTCTAAGTTCATCTCAGCCAAAAAGGTTGGGACAGCATTTTTTCTTTGTGGTTACTGGTGTAAGCATGATTTCTCTCTTGAGTGGGAAGGAAAGAAAAATAGAAGTGGAGAGATATGGAAGTATTTGTCAGTCAAGGAAGTATTTGGCAGTCAAGCAAAGGCATTTATGATTTGTGATCGAGGATGGAAAACCATATATACTGATTATATCTATTTATATAGATTTTATGGGAATGTTTTTCCTGCATATATCTATGTTTTTTGCACATTGCACCTGCCATCCCAAAATATGGTTCTGTTTCTTCTGTATATATAGTTTATATATATTTGTGGGGAAATAATGTCGTTTTATGTCTCTATGTATCCATTTCATTATATGGACAAAGAAGAGAATCGAGTTAAATGGAATTCTCAACCCTGCAAATTCTGGCTTCTTAATAAAATTTAGTTTCCAAAAGTTTCCTCATTTACCTTGTCACCAAACAATGCGTCCCTTAACTGCTTATGGACTATCATGGGTTTAGGTCAGGTGTGGAGCTAACATTTATTACTTTCCATCCTTTTTATCACACAGTCAAGTCAGTTACACAATTGTGTATTTGGGCATAATTTTTTTGCTTGTATAACACTAGGTTTTTTAAAATCAAATTCTGTACTTGCTCATCCACTTTTTTTTTATGGTCCCTTATCTTCCTTGACAGCGACCCTCATCAGCGCCCCTCATTTGCTAGCATCATCGACACACTGAAGAAGTTGCTAAGGTCTCCAACGCAGTTGTTACAAATGGGAGGGCCATAAAGAGCCATCCGGGGTTTTTATGCTCTTGAAGTTTTTGAACCACGCGGAGCTGCTTCTGGAGATTAAATTGACCATTGTCTCAGAGGAGGTTTTCTAATTTCTCATTCCGACAGAGCTTTGATCCCATTCTAAGCAAGAACCGGAGATATGATGCTTATCTAACTTACGTGAAACCGGAGATATGAATTTGTCTTGAAGCCTTAATTGTATATACGGATAAGTTATTTCTGTATTCATAAGGGCTTCCATATGGGAGAGAGTTATCCCACGAGCTTATGATTCCCAAGTCTGAAATATTTACAGATTCATAGATTCACTGTTGTTTCATGTGGACTGTAATTAATCAGTGAGAAATTATATGCTCTTCCTGTCTCACTGTTATAATAATAATGTAATGAATTGCTTAAAATATTTACTATAAAAGAATTTCTTGTTATATGCAGTTTATTGATCATTTTCAATTTTTCACATGTTAACAAATTACATGGGGTTAATATGAAAATCCCAATTCGGTTGCTTATATTGTTTCTGAAGGTATTAGGTTCTTGAAACAAACTTTCAGGTATAAACCTCTTTCATAGTGGTAGTTCTCTCTTAGCTCATATTTGTAGACTTGTAGTCATCCCCTACATGATCCCAAATGTTTTGGGATTTCTAGAGAGGTCATGGAATTTTAAGAATCTCCACCTTTCCAACAATAGGGTTAAAGATGGAATCAAGAAGTTCACGAATAGATTGGATTGGCTTGGTTCGAGAAGAAATTGGTTATATTTTATTTATCAAGTAAACGAGTTGAGTTCGAACAATATTGTCGAGTAAATGAGCTCAACTTTGGAGACTATGGAGATATGTTCATGTCTGAGCTAAACTCGAGATTGATTGATTGAGATCAAGTTCTAATTGCAATTGCAGCAGCTTGAGTTTGATTGACGGAGTTCAAAATCTGTTCTAATTTTACTCTCTTTCTGGTGATGAAAAAACAGACGAGCTGATGGAATTTTGGTTCTGTATTATATCCAGTGTTGTCTGCAAAAGACTTCAATAGTTCGACTAAATAATAATCGTCTTGACTATTTTACTAATACATTTTTAAGAAAAATAATTCAGAACAAATTTATGATAAATTTGGTAAATTTTTTTAGTAGAGTCAAATATTTAAAAATTATAATAACAAAGATGGTTTGGCTTCCTTAAATTTGAGAATATTTTTGGAACTCACGTTCGGAGTTGGGATCGAAACGCCTTTTCTACAACTAAGAAAAACAGTTCAAAACAAGTTTATGATAAAGTTTGTAAAATTTTTTTTAGTAGAGTCAAATATTTAACAATCATAATAACAAAAGTTGTTTTTAAAATTATAATAAGAAACAAAGAAAATGAAAAATGACAGACTTGATAGTTAATAAAAGAATATTTATTAATATATTAATTATTAATTGAGACTTGCACAGAATTTTACTACAGAGATGGATTAAATTGATATTCCTAATATTGTTATCTCCCTATCATAACTCACAAGAGATAATTAGAAATAAATCATTTAATACATAATTTAGTGATTAGGGAGAGAGACCTCTTCATTAAAAGTATATTACGGTTATTGCCTAAACTAACGTCCTGATTCAAGTTCAATCAAAATATTTGTTGTTCAAAAATAAAAATAAAAAAGTTAGAGAAATATCCATTACACTATAAAGCAAAAAAATACACTATAAACTCACCAATCAGATTTTGCCACGTCATGGAATTAGGGAGGGTCCCTCTCTGAGCAACTACTACCTCGAGTACTGTTTCTCCATCCAGTTTCGTTAAAACAAGGCGGCTCCATCAAATCGACGGTCCCAACTCCATCTTCTCAATCATCTCTGAATCTACAAATCTCAACTTTGGTATTTTCTTCATTCGATCGAATCACTCCCAAGATCTAGAGAGAGAAATACAGAGGTGCTGATAGATATCTAGAGAGAGAAACATGGTGGACATGGTGAATGACATTCTTTTACAGGCCGTCCTAATTCTCGTCGTCGTCTTCATGTTTCTTCTGATGTACAATGTTCCCCAAAAAGCCCTATCGAAGATCAGCTTCGGAAGCCGAACCAACCTCCAAGCCAAGCGCCACTTCGTCCAAGGCGCTCAGCTCCTCGAGAAAGCCAGATCCGCCAAGGACGGCGTCGCCGCCTCTTCCCTGGCCAAATCCGCCGCCGAGGAAGCCGATAAAGCGGTCGGACTCAATCCGAAGGACGCCGCAGCTCACATCCTCAAAGCGCTAGCTCTGGAGCTCCAGGGCTACAAGACCTCGGCCCTCGATGCGCTCGACGTGGCTCTCTCGCCGATGGCCGTTAAGTCGCTGTCCGATGAGGAGAGAGGGGACGCGTTGTTCAAGAGGGCGGAGCTGAAAGTGGCGATGAGTCGGACAGAAAGAGTTGACTCGGCGATTGCGGACCTGGTTGACTCGGTGAAGTTCAGGACTGATAATCCGAGAGCGTTTTTTGTTTCGGGTCAGTGTTACGAGACCAAAGGTATGACGGTGGAGGCCAAGAAGGCCTATGAGGACGCTCTTAGGGTCCAGCCCATGTTCACCGTGGCCCAAGAGGCACTGGACCGTTTGGGTTCATAGTTTTTGTTTTTTTGTTTTTTGTTTTTTTTTTTTTTTTTAGGGGTGAATTGTTTAGGTGCTCTACATTTTGTCTTTGTTTTTACTTATTTTCGTACTTTTTTTTTTCTTTAAATAATAAGTTGATCATGTTTTCTAGTATTATGTAATGCAACTTGTGTTATGACATTTTGGAAAGAAAAACTAACGATGTTGACTCGTTCTAGATGTTTGCTTAGTTTTTTTTTTTTTTCACTTACATTGTTCGATAAATATGTCAACTTTGTTAAATGCAAAAAAAACTTCAGAATTATTAGGATTTTGTAACTAATTTCTTTGAACTATAAAATTATTATTTTGTTTTAATTAACTCTATCAGGCACTGGAAAAGGCAGAAGACAATTTTGCCCTTACTATTAAAGGACGCAGTTTCAAATATTGTCATCTTTACTTGCTGACATGGCAAAAAAATTCAATAACCAATGGAAAATTGCAAGCACACCACCACAGGACCAGTTTTTGGAATTGGTTTGTGCTACACTTGTAGCCAAACAATTATACATATATATCATATATATTATATATATATATGTCTCTGCAAACCAAAAGGAGAAAGTACTGCAGCCACGGGGACGGCGATAAGGATCCGCCGGCAACGAAGGAACGGCGGTGAGCTTGGCTGGTTAGGGCGATGAAGATCCGTTGGTGGAGAGGACAGTGGAGACGGGCTGGCGCAGATGGAACCAGTCGGTGGAGATGGTCTGAATCTGCAAATTTCTTGGCGACAAATAAATCGCCCTTGTGTAACTCTCGCTGTCTGTAAATTTATACATATAAATCGCCTTTGTGCAACTCTCTGACATAATCGATCCAGCTGGAATTGATGGGCTCACGGTAGTGACGTGATTCCGGCGGGATCAACCATGGTGATGCAATTCCGGCGAGGCTAAAAAGACGATCGACTAAGAAAGATTTCTCTGTTTTTTTTTTTTTTTTTTTTTTCTTCTGATGATGGAGATGACGATGCCGATGCCTATTTGACATAGTTGTACAACAAAATTTCAAGAAATTCGATATATATATCGATCCATCATCTGGCCTAAAATCAGGGATCCAAGCTTCATCGATTGATCAAATCAATGATTGGAGAGTTGAGCAAACATGAGTTGTGATATTTGTGGTCATCGGAGTCCGCCCGGTAGTCGTTGCAAGGATTTTACCCAAAAAAAAAAAAAAAACGTTGCAGACGTGAAGGAGGAAGAAGATAAACAGTGTTTGTAACAATAAGGGTGTGTTTGGGTAATTGGGTGTAACAGTAAACTAAAGCTGTGTTTGGGTGTAATGTTCATAATAAGGGGTAATATAGTCTTTTTATGCTCATAAGGGCATAATGGCCCTTAAGTATATATTGTGTGATCACATGACGTGATGGTTTTAACAGTGAAATTTAACCGGCCGGTCGTCAGATGGAACTATTTGTAACAAAAATTATATTTCAGGGGATTTTTGAAAATGTTAAAGTTCAAGGGGGTTTGTTACTAATTGACCAATAGTTTAGGGGGGTTAGCTATTTGTAACAAAAATTATAGTTCAGGGGGTTTTTGAAAATGTTAAAGTTCAAGGGGGTTTGTTACTAATTGACCAATAGTATAGGGGTTTTTTTTTTTTTTTTTTGTATTTAACCTTATTTTTAATTCAATTTCTCCTTACGCTGTGGCTTAGTGATTAGTTAGCCCAATGATACTGAAATTATATAATAATTTCTCTAGAGTACTGATACACTTAAGTAGGGATGGTCATGAATCGGATTGAATTAGATATCAATCTTAATCTGATCCGTTCCGAATAGATTAAAAAAATATTAATCCAATTCATGGGTTCGATCGGATTGCATTAGATCTGCGTATTTGTGATGACATGAATTTTAGGATTTTAATTTATTTTAAGATTTATAGTTGTTAAGATTGATTTTTTTTTTTTTTTTTTTTTTTTTAAGTTAGAAAGATAGGAAAGTGAAATTTGTGACATGATGATGGGTCCCATTTGAGTGGTATTTAAGTAGTTAGAATTTAGTTTGTTACATATAATATATATATTGTATGTATGTTGTTAGGTGATGTGGAGTGAAGATAAGAAAAGAAAAAGAAAAATTAATGGAAGGAAGGTGGTGGAAGGTTCCAGCGAAGTGGGTTTTGACGTGGTGTGTTTGTCTGATGGAAATGGAGGCGATAGAAAGTGATGAGTTGGAATTCTTGACTTTGGTTACATTTATATTTATATATATATATATAGTGTATTAGATGGAAGAAGATAAGTGAGGCAGCAAAATGATGAGAAAGGAAAAGAAGGAGCAGGTGGCCGAAAGTGGGAGGAGAGAGAATTGTGATGATGTAGTGTGTACTGGCGGGACCCACAAAGAAACATTTTTGCCAGAAGCCTTTGGGCTTCACGTGGGTTATCCAATTTTTTTGGAGAAAGAGATTGTCCTTTGGTTGATTTTGATTATTGTTTTGATATATTTTGATGGTGTGGTCCACAAGCTATTGTATGAAATGTGTTGGTGCATTTTCCTACATAATGGTATCTTGTCTTAAGGGTTTTGTAGGCAAATAGAAAGAAAAATACAGAGAGTTTGACGACAGAGGAGAGAGAAAAGTTTAAGAGAAAAATTAGAAAGAGAGCGACAGAGAGAGTTTGAGTGCAGACAGAGAAGGGACGAGAGTTGCAGAGGAGGCTGGGAGTTTGAGGCTTTGATGATTTAATAAGAAATTTTTTTTTTTAAGGTAAGAGTCTCTAATATTCACATTCTTTGATTTTTTGTGAATTTTCTCTTTAAAAATTTGACTATAGCATATTTTAATTTCATAAAAATTGTTTATGCTTATAAAAGTCTTGTGTATTTAATATGATAATTGTATATCATGTGATAATTGACCGTATGCGTATTGCCTATTTGAATTGTATGAGATGACATGCTAAAGTTGAATTAATATGCTTGAATTTTATGTGTGTATATATATATATGACCCTATGTGTTATTAAATGTATGTGATTGTGTTGTGAAAAAAAAAAAAAAAATGTTTTAAGTGATTTTGTTCCATACTTTGTGTATTTAAATTACCGTAATTAAAATGTGAAAGCATGGTACATGTATTACACAAATTTTTTTTAAGTATAATATGTGATTTAAATGTGAATATGTGAAGAATTTTGGCATGGAAAGGCATGATGCATTCATGTATGAGCATTGGGAAAAAAATGAAAAGAAATTATCTTTTTGAAAGAAATAAATGAAAATGATTTTTAGGAAAAATGTTTTTGATGAAAGATTTGCGAAAACCCGGTCGCTTAGGATTTGCCTATGGGTTAGTGGTGTTAATGTGACCTAGAGTGAATTAGGGAGACAACCCTAGCGTGGTTGAGTTAATTGGGTCCCAAATGACGTCCTGGAGTTGCCTTGTGGTCAGAGACAGTTAGCCAATCCTTTTCTCGTGCCGCCATGGAGCTACCATGGTACTGGTTGCATTAACGGTTTGAAAATAATGACGAAAAATGTTTTGGAAATGGGGAGCGACATTGCATGACATTGCATTTCATAGCATGGCATGGTTCGTTTACGACTTAGATTATTGTTGTTGATGTTGAGGTTATATTTTTCCCGGAAATGGTATGATCCCGATTCTCTTTCCTATTCCTTGTTTAGACTCACGGGGTCACAAGAGGTGTGTCTTAAGCACCACCTACTGAGAAATTTGCTCACCTCTTATATTTAATATTTTTTAGGATACGGAAGGCAAGTGGCGGACGACATTCCTCCATAGGGTTCGATGGGTTAGTAGACCATTTTGACATATATTTTGTATCTATAATCTCATTTTATTATTTATTTATTTATTTATTGTGGTCAGGGACAATTAGCCAATCTTTCTTTCGTGCCGCCATGGAGCTGCCATGGGACCGGTTACATTAATGGTTTGGAAATGATGACGGAAAAGGTTTTGGAAATGGGGAGCGACATTGCATGACATTGCATTTCATAGTATGGCATGGTTCGTTTACGACTTGGATTATTGTTATTGATGTTGAGATTATATTTTTCCCGGAAATGGCATGATCCCGGTTCTTTTTCCTATTCCTTGTTTGGATTTACGGGGTCACAAGAGGTGTGTCTTAGGCACCACCTACTGAGCAATTTGCTCACCCCTTATATTTAATATTTTTCAGGACACGGAAGACAAGTGGCGGACGACACTCTTTCACAGGGTTCGATGGGTTAGTAGACCATTTTGACATATTTTGTAGCTATAATCTCATTTTATTATTATTTATTTATTTACTATTCTTATTATTATTTTTTTTTTATAAACCCGGAATGACATGTATAATATGTACTGACATAGGAAAGGACGGTAGTATCCTTAGTTGACCTCGAGTTCGGGTAAGGACTCGATTAGCGATTCGGATCCTCGGGTTCGGGTCGTTACAAATTTGGTATCAGAGCAATGATTCGAATACCATTAGGACGACAAGTAGAGGCCTACCTAGAGTTGTGTGGGAAGTTGTTTGCATTGCTTATGTGGTTATTTGCTAAGTGTTTTGCTATTTGAGAAGCATGCCTACTTGTTTACTTGCTTACCTGCTTATTTGTTTACGTGATCACATGCTTGTATGTTTACAATTTTGAAGGCATGCATATTTGCTAAGTTCTTATGTGTTTAAATGCTAAAATTTGTGTTACATGGATATGCATGTGAAGTAGTTGTAGAATCGAACTATGAAAATACAATGTGAATGTAATTAAAAACATGTTACACGTGATAAGATGACAAGCTGTAAGTACGCATTGTGCAAATGTAAATTATATGAAATGATGATGAGGATGGAAGGGATGTTTTATTTTACCTAATAATTTAAATGGACTTATTGTTTAAAACTTATGTGATAGGACACGGTCGTGTCAAGGGTTATGCTTCGGTTATTGTGTATATATATATAAGTATGCCTTATGTATATGTTTATCTTCT